CCCTGCTCCTGGCTGGCCCCCGCAAGGGCAACACAAAGCATTTCCATGGAAGAAAATAATAAAAAAGTGAAACGAAAAAAAAAAACTTAAGGGGGGCCAGGCTTTGGGGGGCCCCATTTTAATCCGGTTATAGTTTGATGAATACCTATATCCGCGGCTACAAATGGGCCTTTTTTTTTGTTTTTTTTTTTCACTTTTCTGTCTTTTTTTTTTTTTTTTCATTGTTCTTTTCCTCCGCTGGTTCGCTGAGGCAAGGGGGTGGGGGCTTTAAGAAAAGTTAACCCGGGAGGGAAAGGGGGAGGAAGAGGAGAGGAGAAGAAAAGAAGGGAAAGGAGAACGGCTTGGCTGCCCGTGGTCTTTCGGTGATTAATGTAATCCATGATTTGGCAATTATAAATAAAGAGAGAAAGAAAAGAGAGAGAGAGAGAGAGAAGAAAAGACAGACAGACGGACAGACAGACAGACAGACAGACAGACAGACAGACAGACAGACAGAGAAAGGGGGTAATTACGGCTTCGGTTTTTGCTCTCTTTTTGTCGCTTGCCGCGAGCTAGGACTTTGGGGCCTTTTCAAACGCTTGCCGCGGTGGCGACGGTGGCGATGCCGCGGAATTTATACGCCCCGCCTTTTGTGCGCGATGCAGCGACGGGCGCGTTTGAACCTCCGCACGCCTCGACACGCCTCTGCCGTAAGCCTTTATATCACGGCCTGCTGATATCTAGCAAGCGGCCGGCCCGACGGCGTTAGGGGGTGCTTCTGGTCCATAGAGGAGTGTGTGTGTGTGAATCACGATGGGTTTGCGCAGTAAGATGAGATGCGGCTGATAGCACGATGTAGGGCAAGGAGGACACTGGCGAAAACAGATGATTCCCCGTTAGGATGGGCTTTATTTATATTTAAAATGGGCTTTATTTAAGTTAAAGTCTTCCTTCACTAAATTTGTAAAAGATTTTTATTTTGAAATGGATTTTCCGTCTTCGCGGCAGCTCTGCCGGGGAAAGTTTTTTTTTTCTTTTTTGTCAGTGGACTGGACTGTCGTCCAATATCTGAGGAGCTGACCGAGGCCGGCGCGGCTGCAAGGGTCAGCGGCCTCCTGATGCACGGATCTAATGCTCCACAATGGCTGACAATAAGGAAGCAGGCCCTGTCGAGCCCCGCCACGCCCTGCCACGCCCTGAAAGCCAAGCCAAGCCCTGCACAGTGGGCCAGAAGACCGGCGGGGGCCGTCAAAATCCTGGACGCGCTTTGAGCTTCAGAGTCACTAAACAGGTCTCGAACCGAACGTGTGACCCCACCAATGGATTGCTCTCCGAACGAGGAATCCATTGGTGGGGTCACACGTTCGGTTCGAATCCCATTTAGCTACTCTGGAGCTCAAAACGCGTCTAGAGGTTTGGCCGCCCCACCGGCCTTCTGGCCCACTGTGCGAGGAGGGGATCCAGAACCCAACCTTGACACGTTGAGGGTGCTGCGCTGCGCTGCCGCGTCGCTGGCTGAGCCGTAAACCCTATCGCGCCATCGCGCGCTTAGCCTTCTCCTGTCAACTTCTCCCCGGATCGACCTTGGCTGCTCCTTTTCTGAAACAAAAATAGTCGCTCTTGTTTTAACCCGCGTGCGTCTGGCCGGCCAGCCGCCTGCCCCGAAGGGCCCGAAGGCCCGAAGGGCGAGGAACGGACGGCGGCGATTTGTAACCTGTGGCGGCGTGGCGGCGTGGTCGCGTATCTGCAGCGCCCGTTTCCATCGCCTCGACCAGCACACTGATTCCGAGAGTCGTCGCTCTGTCTCTCTCGCACCTACACGCGACGCCCCATGAGTGCGAGAGAGACAGAGCGACGAAAACGACTCTCGGAATCAGTGTGCAGGCGTGCCTGGAGCAGGCCACCTCGTATCTCCCTGGGGCCTTGGTTGCCCAGGGCCAGCCCTCTCCCGCCCCTCCGCGCCATGGCCATGCCAGGAAATCGCGCATTTATTCAGGCGACCGTGACAGATTTGGCAATAAGGGTACTTTGTAGTTTCGCAGGGCTGGCCAGGCCCAGGGCCAACTTGACAACTTTTCGGCCCTCTCGGACCCTCCCGGGGGTCTAGGTGACGCCCCGGTGAGCTGTGAAGGGGGCGGGCCCAGCCAGCCTGGCCGCGGGCTGGCGCCGTGACGGTGGCGCACAGTGGGCCAGAAGGCCGGCGGAGGCGGCCGAAATCCCGGACGCGTTTTGAGCTCCAGAGTCGCTAAATGGGACTCGCACCGAACGTGTGACCCCACCAATGGATTGCTCTCCGGACGAGCAATCCATTGGTGGGGTCACACGTTCGGTTCGAGTCCTGTTCAGCGACTCTGGAGCTCAAAACGCGTCCGGGATTTTGACCGCCTCCGCCGGTCCTCTGGCCCACTGTGTGGCGAGCAGTGCCATGATTGCGTCCCGGAGAGGCAGGGAGGGAGGGTGTCCGAGCAAGACCGGGACCGCAATGCCCCCCGCCGCGCTGGGACGGCCCCCGGCTACGCGGAAGAAAAATGCAGCCTCCTGATATGTCGCCGTGCCCGCTGTGTTGGGGGCCACGCCCGGCTACGCCCGGCTCTACTCCGCATCCAGGTCGCGCGTCGGGCAGCGGGGGACGCCGGCGGATCAAAGTCCCGGCCGGGGCGGGGCGGGGGGGGCGGGCGGGGCGGGGCGGGCCGGGGCGGGGCGGGCGGGGCGGGGCGGGCCGGGCCGGGGCGGGGGGTGGGGTCTGATGGGGGTAGATTGAACGTGAACGGGCCGGGATTGCTTCCAAAGTGGCTGCGCAGTGCAAAAGCGCGGTAATAATCTTCTTTGTAAGACCCGCCCCGCCCCGCCCCGCCCCGCCTTTGAGGCATTACTTTTTTATTGCGACCCGCGTATGGAACGCCACCGGAACGCCTCACCTGGTGCGCGGTACGCCCTCCACGCCGAGCCACTGCGGTGGTAATTGTTGGTCGCTTCGGGGACCGGCAGGCGACGGGGCTCGAACCGCGAACCTCGAGCCATGAAACAGAACGAGGCCGTCCCTTGTTTCTCCGCGACACCCTGCAGAATGATTCCGTCTCTGTCTCTCTCGCACCCATGGGGCGTCCGGTGTAGGTGCGAGGGAGACAGAGCGACGAGAACGAATCTCGGAGTCAGTGTACTGGCCTGCCTTTATTTCGCGGGGGAGCGAAACTTTTATCGGCTTTGGCCGTTTAGGCAGTCGTCTCGCTAGCCTCGTTCGAGGCCCAGGGACTCGTTACTGAACGCGCCGGCCTCCCTGAGCACTTGTCGTCCAGACGCGACGACTCGCGGACGCAGCCCGACTGCCTCTGAGAGATATTTGCCGCCATTCGCGAGGAATAAGTTCCATCTTCGGCAAAGTTCGGCACTTGGCTTCGGTCGGACTGAACCGCCGCGACGGGCGGGCACTTTGGCAGTGTAGGCCAGTGCAGACGGACGCACAGTGGGCCAGAAGAACGGTGGAGGCGGTCAAAATATCGGACGCGTTTAGAGCTGCAGAGTCGAACCGAACGTGTGACCCCACCAATGGATTGCTCTCCGAACGAGGAATCCATCGGTGAGGTCACACGCTTAGATCGAGTCCCATTTAGCGACTCTGGAGCTCACACTTCTAGAGTGTTAGCCTACTGCGGGACAGACAGTCAGACAGACAGACAGTCAGTCAGACAGACAGACAGACAGACAGACAGACAGACAGACAGACAGACAGACAGACAGACAGACAGTCGGACCAGAAGAAGGAAAATGGGGAGAAAAGCCATGCAGATAAGGGCAACAAATCATGGATGGGGATGCAGTTGGAACACTTTCGGAAATGAGGCCAGGCTCTCTTTGTCGTGGGATGGCTTTTTAAAAATAGCTTTCCAAATGGGCGTGTTCATTGGATTTGGCGAATTGGCCCGCGAAGAAGGAGGAAAGGAACGGGAGGCGGAGCAGGAGAAATCGATCATAGTGATTGCGCTCTGCAGACCGATTCCGAGAGTCGTTTTCGCCGCTCCGTCTCTCTCACACCTTCACGGGACGCCCCATGAGTGCGAGAGAGACAGAGCGATGGAAACGACTCTCGGAATCGGTCTGCGGTATCTCCGTCTGCGATCGCCCATTGAAAAGCCACCCGCTTCGTTCGGTGGTTTTGTTTATTTTCCTTCGGTTCCACTCGCATTGTTTCGGCGGCGTTTTGCCGGCGATTATATCACACCTGGCGGCGATTGGAATTGAAAACGAATTTCCCCGCGCCGCCTCGTGAATGAATTCACGATGAACGGATGCATGAATGATTGAATCG